TTCCGTAACTGTCCCAGTGGCAATCTGAGGAAAAGTGGAATTAGGTCGCCTAACAGTCATCAGTATATAAAACACTTCTATTATATTTTGGAATGAACTTCTGCAAACGCAACCCTTCCCCTCCCTTTGTCCCATTACTATCAGTCTTACCTGAGCCGTAAATTCTTTCATTACTACCGGCTCAGCTCGTGTTTCATCATATGCGCGTAGTGAAACGGGAAAAATTTAGAAAAAAATTTTTCTTTATTAAACTCTATTTGAGAAGTTAATCGTGGTCAAAAATATTTCAGTTTCTTCATAAACATTTCAACCAGCTCTAACCAAGATTTTAACTTGAAGTTTTTTACATAGTTAATTTTTTTCTAAGGGTCGTATTCTATACTATTGGTGGTGAAAACGAGTACTTGTATTATCACTTTTTGTAGAAGAAGTTTTTACATAAAAATCCAAAGCTACTTCCTAGTCTCACCATTGAAGGCTAAATGTATTATCGTGTCCATACATCGCTATCACACTTGTATTTCCTCGATAATGAAACGATAATTTTCTAGCTTTAGCTCAGATGTTTATTCCAAAATTCATGCCTTGCAATCCACAGGCTACTAATGGGCCCAATTTTGTTTTTTCACCGGCCCACAAATATTTTTAAGCTATCTTCGCAAGATTTATCACCAAAGTCTTATAAATGCACATCAGAAGTGGTGGTCGCGAATGTTTTCCCTACAAAAGCGCAGGGTTGGAGAGGCCAATCACGACCAATTTAGCCTGTTGGATGGTTTAATTTATCAATTGAACTGTAAAAAACTTCCAAAATAATATTGTTGGAATTAATATTATATTAACTTTTGATTATTCATTTTAATTTATTATTATTTAATTTCTTGTTTCAATGTACGGCGGCGCGCCCTTCCTCCTCCTCACTGCCAACTCTCCTCTCTGTCCGCCACTGAACGGCAGTAAAGTGACATTGTAAATCCATCTATTCGAGAAAAAAATCTTAGCTAAGAAAGCGCATGATCGATTGACATCCTGACTTAATAGTGACACTTTGGCCACCTCCTCCCGCTTCTCGGGTTGACTACAAATCATCTCATGCGCTCTGTTGGGGGCTACTAATAATGGACTGCCTATAAAGTATTTTTAAAAACATTCTCATCCGACTATCAAAAAAAGTGAAGAAGTTGAATTTGGGTCCATGGTCTGCATAAGAGTGACCAAATGCTCCTTCAATCTTGTACATTAGGAGTCGCAGACGAGTTTTAATTGCTGGAGAACATGGGAGCAGACTTGATTAAAGCCTTAAACAATTAGGAGGATTTATCAAGCTTGAAAGACATCTAAATCGAAAGACCCATATTTCAGCTAGTAGTCAGTCACACATCATAGACGGCACATAAATTTATCTCAAATATTTGCAAAGATTTTCTCAAAATTGAACGTTCAAGAGATCGAGACATTACATTTGATTACTATCTTGTTGGTTGAGAATTGTTTGTGCAGTTTTCTTCCT